CATAATTTATCTAATGAGAAAGACTCTCATGCATTATCCAATTTGAATCGCATGACTCTAAACTTTTGGCTAAATGAAACTTGGTGATGAGATATCCTTTCACTTGGTCAAATATGAAAATACCTCAAGCATGTTTTAGAAGATTCAATATCCACTATTAATATAGCTATTATTAGAAATGTAATTACCATACTTATTTATGTCATTTCAAAGAGATAAAATGAGGCAACTAAGCAATCTAAAACTTTACCATTTATTTTAAGTAAAATGAAAATTGGAACTTATCCTTACACTGCATAAAATGAAAAACTATGTTTCCATACTTCTTTGGATAACAATCTATTAAATTATCCTATTTCCTTAGTAGTAGCTCAACATTCTGAAAATCAAGCTATGTGACAAAAGGCCATCTCTCAAGATCAGATTTAGCTTGATCTGCTCAAGCTTCCTTCTTTCTCTTAGATCCTTTAATACCATCAAAATATGATGATCACATAATGTATTGGGAGTCTATGAATAGGAACTTATAAAATAGTAGAGTCATATAATGGATGTACCTGAAGTAGAGTCACATGACTTGACTTTACAATCTCTTAGATCTTTTAGGTAGACTACCCAAATCTGTCGTGGACTCAACCCTCGTATTTGAGATGTATGTTAAAAATCTCGAACAACCCTGATGGAGAAGTCTCCTAGCCCTCGCAGCCGAACAGAGGGTTGGCCACTGCGAGGCCCACTCTCCCTGAATAACCAGTTCACCCCCACTTGGGGTTCGAACTCTTACTAACTGGCGCTCGCAGTCTATCATGGCCCCATTGTCCCCCAACCAGTCCATTCTGACGATCACCTTCAGCCCTTGAAATGGTATCGGAACCAGATCGACACAGAACCTCTCCCCAAACACATTCAGGACACAGTCTCGATATACCCTCGCAACACTCACAATGCGGTCATCTACAATCTTAACCTCAAGCGGGGAATCCACACTCCCCGGAGCATCCCGGAACATCTTCCTAAGCGCAAGAGATAAAAATGGGCACGTAAAATGAACAAAAAATGTCCCTATATAAAAGCACATATATACATAAGCATAACAAATCAATATCGAGCGGGGAGAATAATTTACATACCAGCCACAACGTCTGGCGCTACTTAAGGATCCTCTATGGTCAACTGAAATATACGGCTCTTCACCGCAGGAGTATCTGCCTTGGCAGGCCAGCCATCAGTGATCTTCATTGTAGCAGGCGCAGGTGCCACCACCGCTCCTCCTCATCCCTGCAACCTCATACAATCGGCCTTTTATGGTCGATCTAGTTGCAGTGGAAACAAATCTATCCTTTCTTGGGGCAATCCCTGCTCATGTGGCTCTGTTGTCCACACGTGTAACATCCCGATCCCGTTGTCTGACATCCCCCGCTGTGCAACTTACCGCACCTGGCGTATTGGCCACGCCACTGTTGACCCCTACTGAAAGTGTCACAGTTCTTACGCTTTTTAGCCTGACCTACAACTGTCTAAGCTTGCTCTGGATCCCGCTTGGCGCGGAACTCCAACTCCATCTCCCGCTCTCGGGCCTTCTCCACCATCTCATTCAGGGTTTTGCACCCTGAAAAGCACATGAACTCATGGATATCATCCCTTAGCATGGAATGATACCTCGTCCTCCTCATATCCTCTTCCGCAGCATACTGCAAAATCAATAGTGCTCGTTTCCGAAACTTGCCGTTGATCTCCACCACGGTCTTGGTCGTCTGTAGTAGCTCCTGAAACTCCCTCACTAACCATTGCACCGCAATGGATGGTGAAAACTCCAAGTCAAAACGCCTAATAAATTCCTCCCATGACATCTCAGCCACTCTATCTGGTCCCACCTGGTGGGTCGCCTCCTCCCACCAGTCCCTAGCTCGACCCTTAACATGCACGAAGCAAACCCCATTTTTTTTCGCCTTGGGGCAAGAGCTTGTGCATTGGGTGTTCTCTATGTCTGCCACCCAGCGTTGACTAACTATGGGGTCCTTGAACCCAAAGAACTCAGGTACCCCATACACCTTGAACTCCCAGAACGAGGGAGTTCGGGCCCCAACATGGCTAACAACAATCTTGGCTCGGAAAGACCTGAACCGCTCCTCCATCATCTCCATCATCCCCTACTTGATGGTCCCAAAAATCACTAGAGTAGCATCAAGAATTCCCCTTGTAAACTCGGCTGCGATAAGCTCGCACAGCCTCTCATCAATAGGCTCATTATCATAGCCCAACCCGGATCCGGATCCTGATCTTGATCCTGATCCCCCCACTCAATGACACATCACCACCATTTTGATCCAAAATACCATAAAACATAATGATCAAGATATTCAAAAAGGGGATCCTTCCACATCGGTCTCCTTAGAGCTTCCAGGTCTAACATTAGTTCGGGTACAGGTCCTGTGCTTTCAGTAGTACGGGTGTAATATTACCTTCTACACCTACATGTACCTTCCCCAAGGCTCTACCCGATAACTCTAATTCATCCCAAAACAAAACATATCTCACGAACCACTACATAACTCAAATCCTAGGCTATCCTAAGATTTGTTCCATTCCCATCAAACCAGAACTCAAATAAGTCATAACAGGCTGCCTTAGGAATGCAAATTATACACCGTACATGATCAAATAGATTGTCGAATAACATCTCTACTGTAGGACCATAACTAAACAAGCAACACGAAATAAGCCTAAATCAATTATTCAAAGGCTATAAGATCCTAATTGTATACAATTTTTAAAGGATACACATAGAAAAATACATACGACTATAACATTCCAGATATCAATATACCATGGCTAACATAATGGGGAAAACACTTACTTGAGCTCAGCCGATTACGCGCATTGCACTCTCCCTTTTTCTTACAAGAAATCAGTTTTTAAATAGTTTTTACTTTGATTTTGACAAACAATTTTTACCATTTCCTCAGTTTAAGTTCTGACACACTCGAGAGTGTGCCCGAATCCCTCAGACCAAGTCTCTGATACCAACTTGTAACATCCCAAATTTCCAATAAAATATTTCAGTTTTAAATAATGAAATCATTTCCATAAATTATAAAATCCCAATCACATTTTTTTCAAAATTTAGAACATCAGACAATTTATTCATCACATCAGAGTGTCCCCAATAAAACGCGAGAGAGTGCATGCTGCACCATCACGTCGGGCTCTTGCCCTTAGATCCTGTAGTATCTGAAACAACCAACAAACTGTAAGCTAACGCTTAGTGAGTTCCCTATAACATACCCCACATAGTCCACATAATTATATAAACCATATCAACCATACAAGCCATGCATACAAATATATACAAATGTTGGTGGCTCCCCCAGGGTCTTACACCTATGTGTCATCGGGAACCCCATGGTCTTACTTGGAATTCCATGGGCACCCCCACATGGTCTTATAACCATGTGCTATGGGCACCCTCCATGGTCTTTACCTGGAATGCCATGGGCACTCCTACATGGTCTTATACCCAAGTGTCATGGGCACCCCCTATGGTCTTTACCTAGAATGTCATGGGCACCCCCACATGGTCTTATAACCAAGTGCTATAGGCACCCCCCATGGTCTTTACCGGGAATGCCATGGGCACTCCCACATGGTCTTATAACCAAGTGTCATGGGCACCTCCATGGTCTTTACCTGGAATGCCATGGGTACCCCCACATGGTCTGACATCTAAGTGCAACGGACTCCCCCTAGGGTCTTCCATGCAAGTATCACAGTACAACTAGTATATTGTATGCCACATAATCAGCTACCATACCACATGACACATAATGGTCCGGCATTAGTGCCTTTGACCCATTGGTATGGTGAGGAGACTCACCTTAGTCTGCTGAGAAAGCAGCTCGCCTAACAGTCTGAAACCACCCGTGTTGAACAATAATAACATTAACCAAAAATTAGGATTAAATGCAATCTAATTAAAGAACCCAATTACCGAAGCCCAATTCCTTTCATAATGGCCCAAGATTCTTTCCTTTGCTAATGGGATCAAAGTCCATGTCCAAAGATATTAATGGGCCTCATGTCCCAATAGGTCCAACCAAAACAACTATGGCCCCAACACACCAAAATCAGCCTAAAACTCAAAAATGAGTCCAAGCCTAATGTTGAATAAAGTCCAGTGGCTTGCGGGGCCAAAACAAACCCAAAACCTATATGAGAGCGTACGCCTTGCGTACCACTCCGCTATGCTCAGTGTACTAGTTCTTAAACCAGTACACACTGCATACATGCTACTACACATAGTGTACAAGTTAGACATGCACAAATGACCATCAATCTCTTAATGCTTGGGATTTTAACGTCCAACTTTAGATCTGAGTCCATTAATATGTCTTAAGTCATAAAGTTGGCAACTTTATGCCATTTAAATATGCTCCCCACAATCCTTTACAATCCATTAAGACCTTTATAAGGGTCTTATCTCATGCATGAGGTCAAAACACCCATCAAGACTACATTTTTATGGTATGAATGAACTAAGGGACCTCAGATCTACTCTTCCTAAGCTCTGGAGTTTCTCAAACTCCCAAGAGGTGACTTATGAACCTAAAAAAGGACAATATAGCAAACCCTAGCTCAATCTAATGAATAAGATGGCAAGATTAAGACTTTATACCTCTAGAAGCTCCTCCATATGAACTAGATGCATGATCTTGAAGCTTAATGCCACACCAAGGTTGCTCACTAACATCTTCTCTTGAATATTCTCTATAATGGCCATAAATATACTTTTTAAGCTCAAGAACACTCTCACAAGGAAATCTGGGGTAAATGGGAAAAATGAAGCTGTGGAGGCTGATTAGGGTTTGAACCGAGAGGCTTAAGGATGTTTAAATAAGTGTAAAGTCTGAGGATTAGGTTTTTGCTCTTATGTTTTGTATGCCCCGCTACCTCTTTGTACACCCAGTGTACGCAGCCACCGTCCACAATCATCCATCATTAATATGCTAAGCGTACTCCTGAAGTATGCCCAATGTACTAAGGGACCATTATGTTATAAGTTTTTATTTCAAGAGTGTAAAGGGTATTTACCTGATTTGGAGTGTTACAATATTCTCAAGACTCAAGAGTATCATCTGAGAACAATCATCGAAAGTGTTGATAAGAAACATGAAGAGAGAATGGGTAATCAGTCTAGCAATTTTGAATATGAGATTACTAAGTTACACGAAGTTGTGAAGGAGCTTCATGAGCTCTTTGAGAAACAAGTATCTGAAATGAAAGCTTTTCTTGAACTCAAGGTTAATTATCTTCGAACCTCGATGTCGAAAGAGGTTAAAATATTGGATGATAATTACAACTTGTTGCATAAGAAGGTTGATGTTTTATCCCGTGCAACTACTCATTTGATTGAAGATATCACTGCTTTCAACAAGGATTATGATCTCAAAGTTAAAAGTGATAAGGATGATAAAGTGTTTGAAAAGGTTGAAGAGTTTCTTTCTAACTTCAAAGAAACATTGTCGAAAGTTAATATTTCATCTTAGAGTTCCATCTCTCAAGATTCCATTTCTTCAATGGTTTCGAACATTGAGACAAGCATCAAAGCAGAGTTGGCTCCAATCCTCAATCTAGTCCTTCGTCTACCAACAAATGCTCCACCATCTATGCACGTCTCGCAAGGGGTAGAAAGAGGTGTTAGTTTGTCTAAGAGATCTGGTGAAGACACATGAAAAGTTGTGCGAAGAGTTTTGTCTATGAAAATTCCAATAACAATTCCAATGAAGTCGGTAATCACATCAACAACAAAAACTACGACCATGAATCTTGATCATTCGAAAGTTCAATAGAAAGGGATTTCAATTAAGGAACGAGTTAGAGGGTCGAGTTTTGCGCTTGTCAAAACAAATTTTAATGTTGACCCCAAAGATAAATGGAAAATCATTCAAGTTGATCAATCAATAGAAGAGAGGAAGAGATTGCAAGAAATTAAGATCGAAAGACAAAGATAAATAAAGAACATCATGAATCAAAGGGTAAATGATCCACCAGGCTTGAACAAAGGAGATAAAAACAAGCATTGGTGTTATGAAATAATAGACACATTTGTATTTGTAAGAATCATGAATTCTTGAAAATATCAAAGAAAAGTTATGACATCAAGAACTCAAAATTCAATCAACTTGATTTCCCAATCAATCATCTAATGTTTATATCCACTAAGTTCAAAATAGTTGAGAATTTCAATGACTGGTGAAGGTTTCAACACTATGATTTCATGTTTAACCATTTAGCTTCTATTACCAGCAGAATGTAACACAACAAACTCAGATTTCATTGTTAAGTTTGCAAGTTTTCTTCTTGGAAGCACATCAAATGGCACCTTCCCCAAGCAAGAATACCCAACTAGTCATTGAGGAATGATCCTCCAAGTTGGTTATCCAACTTACATCTGAATGTCCTTCCAAAACTAAAGGATATCCTAATTAACTCAAAGCCATAATCCCTAGTTCCCTTGAGATACTTAAACAATCTATTTACAGCTTGCTAATGTTAAGCATTAGGATTTTTAATGTACCTATTGAATTTTCCTACAACAAAAGCAATATCAGGCCCGATACTTATCATTGCATACATCAAACAATCAATGGACTTAGAGTATTCCAACTGTGAAATAGGATTTCCTATGTTATCTATCAATTTCACACTTAGATCCATAGGAGTGCTCATTGGAGAACAATCGGTACAATTAAATGCTTGAGAATTTTCTCAATATAATGACTTTGAGTCATTACCAAGCCTTTGTTCATCCTTTTAATTCTTATTCCAGGAATTATGTCAACCTCTCCAAAATCTTTCATGGAAAACTTTGATGATAATAATTTATTTGTTTCATGCACTTGATTTTGGTCGGTACTGAAAATCAGCATGCCATCTACATATAAGAAAATGATCACTCCAACACTAGTAGCATCATCAAATAACTATAAACACATTTGTAACATTGGTTAATCTTGAAACCATAGGACAAAATAACCTCATCAAACTTTTAATGTCATTGTTTAGGTGCTTGTTTCAGCCCATATAAAGATTTGACAAGTTTACAAACCATATGCTCTTTACTGGGCATAATGAAACCTTATGGTTGTTTCATGTAAACTTCCCCATCAAGTTCACCCTTCAAAAATGTTATTTTCACATCCATTTGATGAATTGTAATGACCCACTCCTGGTACACATCAGTTCATTTAATATTAATTTTGTAAAAGCTACTCAATGAGTTGGTAGCCGTAACTCGTTGAGTATATGCCAGATTGGATGCGGGAATTTAAATGGTCTACTCGGCGATTCGAAGCCTTGACTCAACAAGTAGGTCTATCAAGACGAAACCCGACTTTAGGGGTTTTTCTTCCTATTTAAGCCACTTAACCTCTTTTGGGCCTTCCTTACCAGCCTCCCTATCCTCCAAAAACCCTAATTCGTTGTGAGCTTCATCCTTGAGAGATTATTAAGGTTTTGAGTGGGTTTTGGGATATAGAAGAGAGTTGGAAGAGCTTGGATCCATCAAGCTTGTGGAGAACATCAAGATCCAGGATTTCATCCATCTTTGGCAACCTTTTGAGGTAAAAAGCTCTAAGCTTATAACCCATAGCTTAGATCTCTTTTAGTGTCGATTTATGGGTCTTTTTGATCCCTTTGAGAAGGATAAGTTACTCTCCATGGTTTGTATGCCAATTAATCCCTTTTTCCTGTGATATTTAGCCTCTAGAACCATAAAAGAGGTCTTGAACCCGTTTTTGTCGAAGCAATGGTCATGTTCATGGAAGTAGGTTGTTATAACTTAAGTGTGGGTCCATTTGAGGTCTAAAAAGCCATCAAGTCTCCAAGTTCATAGAAATAGACCATGGAAACGATCTGGATCTATATTTTGGAGCCTTAGAAGTGTGAAATTAGCTGTTTAGGATAGATCTGCAAGGGACTCGACGAGTTCATATGGGAACTCGGCGAGTCCGATCAAGGATCCTGGATGATGTTCATGAAACTCGACAAGTTGTCAAGGAACTCGACGAGTTGGATCATCTTGTCCCTTATCTAACTATGCTAGGACTTGACGAGTTATAGGGTGACTCGGCGAGCCAAGTTGCAATATTAGGGTTTTTGATTTCTAGAACATGACGAGTCAATAAGCTGACTTGGAGAGTTAGGTCAACTTAGAAGGTTGACTTTGACCAAAACGTTATCTTCGATGAGGGGTAAAATGGTCATTTTACCCTAATCAAAATTGCCAGATTTCTGACTAAGTATTATGATATAGTGGTAGTCGAGGAGTTGTGGGAGCAGCCTGCAGAGATTCCTCACACACGATTTCAGCATTCAGTTTGAGAGGTGAGTTTCCTTTCAGTAGGAACGGGTCGAAGGCACCAAGTTCGGCCTGTATATGTGATATGTTAGAAGTTGAGTGTGGGTGGGGCCCGAATCTCGTAGCAGTCTAGTGTGGGCGGGGCTCAAACCTCTTAGTATTATTTGAGTATAGATATGTCATTGTGTGGTAAATATACCTGTTGTCTGTGTGATACTTGTATGCATGTTAGTAGCGGAGTGTGGGCGGGGCTCGAATCTCTTAGACAGTAGAGTGTGGGTGAGGCCCGAATCTCCTTGATAGTAGAGTATGGGCGGGGTCCGAATCTCCGTGAGAGTGGGCGGGGCCTGTATCTCTTAGTTGCACGATATTTTTATGGTATGTGGTAGTTTGTGGAACTCACTAAGCTTCATGCTTATAGTTTTCAATTTTGGTTTCAAGTACTTCCACTAGCAAGGGGAAGGGCTCAGGATGATCGCATGGTACACACCACAGTTTCAATACTATAATAATAAGAGTATTGAAAACTCTCTTCATCCCTTGTGCCTTCCACCAAGTATATTTAGTAGTCGGAACCGAAATTTTTCGAAATTTGGCCAATTTTGCTTTCTCGTAGCTCTTGTGTTTCTGGTTTAGTAACTGGTGCTTTCTCGTAGCTCTTGTGAAAACTCTCTTCATCCCTTGTGCCTTCCACCTTTTGAGTTGACTTCACCATAGGAACTTGACAGGATGAATTATGAGAAAGCAGTTGATAAATGATTTTTAAGAATAATATATTAATTGAGAAATCATATAATTTAATTAGTATTGGTCAGAAATTAAATTAGAATTAATTTAGTGATCAAAAGAAACTGATTAAAAGAATGGGTACTCGTTATGTAAATCAGTAATAGTTGTAGTTTGACTAATGGACACTATTGATAAGGGGTGGACGAAAATCTATAGGAGCCCATAGAGTTTTCGTCCAAGGCCTGTCATATGGAGGTATGTGGATTGCTTAGGGCCTAAGCAAGGGAATTAGGGTTTCCAGTTGAAAACCCTAGTAGCCTCAACTGTAAAAGGAACCCCAAGGCTCTTGAAATCGGCACTTGATTCCCTAAAAGAAACTGTGGCTAAAATCCTATGGCCTCCACCTCTCTCTCTTGTTCATCCATTGCTAAGTGGTGTTTGTGACTCCATTAGAGGTGCAACAATTGAGGCACTAAGCTCTTGAAGGTCAAGATCAAGGAAAGGATTGGTTGTTACTACTAGCTAACAAGAAATGTATTCTTCTAACTCTGGTTTAATTGTTAAATCTGAAATTTGTATGCTAGATTGGGGTTCTTGCTTTGGAAAACTAATTTGCATGTATAACTTGAGAAAAACCTAGATCCAAATCAAATAGGGTTTCATGTGCACCATAGGAATGTTGTATTGCTCAAAACTCATCAGTGGTATCAGAGCTTAGGGTGTTTTTCTGTTATATTTGATGCATTGTGTTTTCCCAAAGCTGGAACAAAATTGCTTTTGGCTCTCTGACTGCTGAACTCGACGAGTCCTAAGATGGACTCGACAAGTTGGACCAACTCGACGAGTCCAATCTCTGACTCAACAAGTTTCTTCATCTGTGTGCAGATTTTTTGGATTTCAACCCAAAATTAGATAATGATGATTACCTTAAATTGTTTTAACTGTTTAAATTCAAATTTTCTGATATGGTAATGAATATCCTCACCTACTTAAAAGATAATAGTTAAATTTTAAGATAATGTTCAAAATTATGTGATTAATTTGATTATTTAAAATTTGATCTGGAAGTTTTGAAAAGTTTCAAATTTTACCCTCAATTTTTGGAATTTAAAAGTTAATTAAAAAGTTTTTAATTTTGAAATATTAAATTCTAAAACCCTAGTGTTTTAAAAGTTTAAAATACAACACTTATACTATTATAATATTAAAATATTAATATGTATATATATGTATAAGATGAGTCGGTCTTACTGTTAGTAGGCCTCGTTCACGAAACCGATCTATAAGAGGGGGTATAAGGAACCGCCTATAAAATGGCAGTTGAATGGGTGTCCACTCTCACCTACCGCTTCCTTGATTGGTAGAGGGTCGTTAGCCAAACGGGTAGCATAGTACATTAATTCCTCATTAATAAGTATAATGAAGATTATATAGTAACTAAATGTTTTTTATAAATTCCCAGTCTTAGTTACTTTAGGAAAATGTGAAAATGATGTTATTCCATTAAATTGCACTTTGCATGTTGCCAAGTCGTTAATGGAGCATGTGGGGTTAACCGACACACTAACTTGGACTAACAAGGGTGGCAAAGGGTAGCTCGAGAATTACCATAGATCAATGGAGAGTGTGTGGTTAACCGGAACA